ACTCCAGGGAGCTGTGGTCTGTGTCACACCACACCTCAGCCACCTGGCCCAAGGGTGTCACGAGCTGGCCTCACGGCCCCAAACTCCTCTCGAGAGTGAGCTGGGGAAATCCCCTCTCTGCCCCACAAGAGGACGTGCTGCAGCTTGTTCCAGAAGCCTCTCAGAGGTGGTGAGCCCAGGATGGTGCCACAGCGCCAGGGGAGCTAACGGGCCACACCAGCCTCCACCGCGCCCTTGCTGGGGCAGCCTGAGGTGTGCAGAGAGACCGACCAATCCTTGCAAAATGGGATGGGAGGGGCTGAGAAGGGTCCTTGGGTTCTGGACCAGGCAGCCATAACCCACTCCCCCAGCACCACAGACACCTGAATTGAACAGCTCCTGGGTAAGCCATCCCCCTTGCCCTCCCGCCACAGGGTCAGAGAGGAGAGACAAGCTAAGACTCTGCACACAATGGCGTTTAAAGGCTTGCTTGTGGCCTCTAGAGGCCTGGGGGACATCATGGGTGATTGAGACAATGGGGGTCGAGGGGAAAGGTTTGAAAGCACAGGCCAGGTCAGAAAGGCAGCAGAACTCCCAGCAGTATCAAAAGGAGGGGACACTGATGTGGAGGGACAGAGGCTGGGAGAAAATCCTGCTGGGCCTGGTGGCAGTGAGGGAAAAATACACAGTGGAGGCAAAGATGGAAGGAAAGGGGCCCCCGCCTGTAGACCAGCCCCAAACACACACACAGACACACACAAACACAGCCCACTGCAAAACAGCCCCTACCCCCTGCCATGACCTCCCAAGGCGGTTCACCTGGCCGGGCCCCAGAACGGCCCCTGGGCCCAGCCCCTGAGTCACTGTGTGGGCTTGTGTGAGGCAGCCCTCTTCTGCCTCCAAAGGGCCCCACCCACCTGGCAGAGCGGGAAGGACTGGGGGCCTGGCAGCAGACCAGATGGGGCCATCCTGGGCAACTCGCAGACAGGCACCCTGGCTAAGAACCACCTGGAAGCTCCCAGTCAAGCCAAGCATCAACTGTCCAAAGCAGTAGTGACCAGATCATCCTCCAGATTTCACCCAGAATGCCAGCCTGCCACCACCAGGAGATACTGGAACTGATGCCGGGAAGCTCACGTCCACAGCTCCAATCCTCCTCTCTTGTGCCCTCCCCCCCCCCCCCCTGCATCCCGGCCCCAGGAGAGAATGGAGGCATCCTGGGCAATCCATTCACTGGGTAATTAGGAATTGTTCTTCCATTCTCCAGTCCTGGGGAGGGCTCCAGAGTAGCCAGGTAATCCCTGCCCACCTCCAAGCCACTCCCCCACCCCCAGCATCCCCACCCTCTCACTTCCAAAGTCAGAGTGGTCCCCTCTGCCCCAAGCCTCTCAAGCCGGCAGGATCAGCCACTCAGCAAATATTCTCCAGGAGTAATTGGATGTGATGGAACGAGGGCTTTTCAGCTCTTGAGTGGAAGTCTCTGGATGTCATTTAATGGCACAAAAAATAAGAGGCCCAGGCCTCCCGCCTACCACCACCAGGACATCATTAATCTCAGTGGAAAGGCACGAGTGCTTCTATCACTGCAGACGGCCCTGCAAAGAGTCAGACAAATTACAGACCTGAGCCGGGCGCTCCTTGGGGCGGTTATGAGGCTGGCATTCAATTTTTGTTTTTTTCTTCAGGGCCACCGTCCCCTGACAAGAAGCCACGGTGCCCCTGGGGGTGGGGGGCGGGCAGGGAGACAGGGATGAGGACCCCGCCCCCTTGTCCTCCAGCCCACCTGAATGGAGGCCTCCCTCTCGGCCCCCAATTCCTGGGCTGAGAGGGAAACACTTGACCGCCCACTGAGGACTAAATGGCAAGTCAGGTGGGAACTGTTACTAGCCCAGTGTTCATTATCTTATATTATAAACCCACTGAGGGCAGGAGTAAGGCCGCAGGGCATGAAAACCCCACCCCCGCCCCAGCCCCGCAGACACGAGGAAGCGGCTGTCAGCAGGGCTGTCAGATTGCCCTCAGCCCAGAGCTTGCCCATTCTAGCCCAGGAGCTGTCCACCCCATCCTCACGAGTCCTCCGAGGGGGATTATTTCTCAGTCCTGGGGTGCCTGTTGAACCCTGATAGACCCAACAGGGCTGTCCAGTCCCATGCTATGAACCACATCCAAACGATGCTAAGCCAACCCCACAGACTGGGGGAGCTGGGGGGCAAGACCTGCCCCAGGGTGTTCTGAACATTCTAGCCATGGCAGCCCCTAGGACTCAAGCTGGGAGGATGAGTAGCTGAAATCTCGGAGCCCCTCTTCCAGTTGTTGAAGTCACTGTCTAGGAGAAATCAGGCACCCACAGTAAGAGCTCAGAAACCCCTGATGACTTTAGGTTAGCTTACCCAGCTCTCCCCTTGGCCCGTTTCTGGAACATCTCTCCCATCTAAAATCCTTTGTCACCAACATCTTCCCCATCGGCACCAGCCAGTAGGTGAGAGACTGGCCTCTTGGTGCGGCCACAGCGTAAGGGTTTGCAGGATGGGAACGGTGCCCCCTAGGGTTGTGCAGGGAATAAGCAGCCGATCCTATCTGGTGGCCCCACCCAGAGGAGAGCCGGCCTCCCTGTTTCAGCCACTGGGTGGCTCAGGAAACAGGCCGCAGACGCCCTCCTCCTTTCTCCCTCCAGCTCCCACTACCCTTGGCCTGGGCCAAGGAAGAGCCTGTCCTGGTTGGGCCCACGGGGCCAGTGGGAGTGGCTGGAGCACAGACAGCAGCCTCTTCCCACGTGGCGGCTGTCTCTCTGCAGCTCCAGGCCAGGACAGAGCAGTGCCATGCAGTATGGGACTTTCCTCCCCAGGGTGACCACGAAGCCACAGCCTCCCAGCTCCCCATCTCTCCCCACACACACACCCCTGAGGGTCTGACTCACCCCTCTTCCTTATAGAACTTGCACAGGGTCAGTTCCTCTTGCCCTTTGTGGCAGGAAACAGGGGGTGTGAAGAGTCACGGCCAAGCCAGGGGAGGAGGCAGCGGGAGGCTAGCAGCCCGCAGCACAGTACCCACTCTCCTGAGGGACACAGGGCTGGCTTAACGAGCTGCCCGAGAACCACAGTGTTGTTGTCGGAAATGTGACCGAGGGGAGCTGGGAGGCTCCAAGGGCACTCCAAGTTCCACTGGGAGAAGCCCTCTGAGCGAGGGGAGGGCAAAGTCTGCAGGAGGGAGGCAAGCTCTCCCTCAGGGTACAGGGGATTTCTTTCCACCAACTTGCCCTGATCTCGTGATGAGAGTTTCAATTCCCTCCTGGCCACCAAGGTTTCTTCCTGCCCTACTCGGTGGGGAAGGCCCCCTCGTCCCCATGCCTGTCACACACCGGTTCACCCATGAGCCCTTTTCCTGGCTTGTACCCGCACACATGTACAAGCATACACACGTGAACACACTTTCCCAGGATCATACCACAGCTCTTCATCATCCGGCCAGGCTTTCTGGGCGTGAAGACCACACCAGGCCAGTGCCTCCCTGCCTCCCCTCCCAGCGGAAGACCCCACCGCATGCAGTCACCCACCTGTCCCCCAGCAGCATTCTCCCCCCAGGAGAGGCTCTCCCAGGGCCCAGCACCTCTCTCCCTAATTAGAGCGTGCAGCCAGCGACCAGATCGGACCTGCGGGAACCTGAAGGGGCCCTTTCCTCACCGGAACCCCATCTTGTGCCCCATCCTCCCATCTGTGCACTGGGGATAAAAATAGTCTGCCCTGGTGAGGATTAAGTGTATGAATATGCATGGAGTTGCTGGCACATAGGAAGCACTATATAGATGTGTTATTACTATTATTATTACCTGCATTAGTATTATTATTGTCTTGTTTCTTTGGATTAAAACATTTTTGTTTTCCTTGAAAACATCTTTGAAGAGCTAACAGCCCCTGGGAGGGGGAAGGATGATAAGTGGAGTAACAGCCCTTCAAGGGACCTGCTGTCTTCCTTGTTGAAAAGGCTCACGGGTGCAGACAGAGGCCCTGAGCACTACCTTCCCCCCTCCCTGGAGGGGATGTTGGTAGACGTAGCCAAAAAGAAAAAATAATACAGGATGCCCCGTTAAATCTGAATTTCAGATAAACAAGGGAGAAATTTTTAAGTATGCTTCATGCAATATGGGCGACAGACTTACAAATTATTTGTTGTTTTATCTCAAACTCAAGCTAAGCCGGGCATCCTGGATTGTAGCCGGCCGTCAGGCGCAGAGGGTGCCTGAGGCCCAGGGTTTGGGAAACCAGAGCGTGGGAATATGCTTGTGACCACTTCCCTCGGCTTCTCCCCAGTGCCCGGGGCTGCACCCTCCTTGCCCTGCTGCTGGGCCTGTCCACACTTGCCCCAGAAGAGGCACCTCCCCCAACACCGCTGTGCTCTCTCCCCTTGAGGAGCACCTGGGCACAACGGGGACTTCTCCCGCATACTCTGCTCCCACAGCACCCAGGTGCTCAGGAGTAGGGAGAAGCCCAGTGGTAGGCTCCGCTCCTCAGCCGCTGCGCCAGCTGGGGTTCTAGGGAGGAGCCTGCAGGAAGGCCAAGGTCACTTGGGCCAGCCTCGGCCTCAGCCCCAGCAGCCAGGGTGACCAGGTGTGAAGGAAAGAAACAGTAAGACTTCAGTCGTGCGGTCAGGAGAGCCTGCGGGAAAAGAGAGGTAGGTGGAGGAAGAGGCGAGCCCACCCGACAGGGCACTTCGTTTCTACATGGGAGTGAGGTGGCAGAGTTAGACCCAATAAGGGGCTCTGGGGAAGGAGACCAAAGGAAGGCCTTGACCCAGTCCAGCTTGATGCCTGTTGTTCCCTGCAGAGCAGCCTCTTCCCAGACACTCTGCTAGCATCCAGCGGGGACCCAGAAGGCGCCTCCAGGCACCCTGACACCCTCAGTCCAAGGACCAAGTCCTCACTTGCTGTCTCCACTTCCCCAGAGCCGGCCTCCTTGTCGAGTCCCGCCAGCATTCAGTCCATGGTTCTCCCTCACTACCTTCCTCTGGTCTGTCTGTCCTTCTAGGCTCTTGGAAAATGGACAAATTCCTGAACCGCTTCCACCTGAGCGAACCTGAAGCAAGCACCCAATTCATGACCCAAAATTACCAGGACTCGCCCAATTACCAGGCCCCCGGAGCCGGAAGCAGTGAGCTAAAGGACAAACCCACGTAGAGATAACTGCCTGCCAGACGTCAGGCTTCACGCCGCAGGTGTGTGTGTCCACGGTGTCCACCAGCGATGGTCCGGGTACAGCACCCCCTCTGGGTATGGAACCCCTGCTGGGTACGGAACCCCTTCTCTTCCAAATAAAAAAAAATCATCCAGGGCTTACTGGTTGGATGTGTTCTTTCCCAACCAGTCATCTTTCCAAAACTAGGAAGAAGAAATCCATCTTTGCCCAGCACTGGGACCTGGAGCTTTCCCATAAATGCAAGGGTGTGTATGGGGGTGGTGGGGGAGCAGTGCTGAGAGAGATGGATAGGCAGAAGGTAGGGGGTTCCTAGACCTCAACTGTCACTGAGGCACTGTGGCCTTGTCCTGTCTACAGTCCACTCCCTCAGTTGGGAAATCAAGGTAGGAAGGAGAGTTGGGCTGGTTGGGTTATTGCCACAGTGCCTTCCAACTGTGACATTCAGCAGCATTCATTCAACAAATATTGTGGGCCCCCAGTACGTGCCTGACCTTCCGTTAGGTGCTGGGGATACATGTGTGAATAGGGCCAGACAAAACCTAGGGCTCGCTTCACAGAGCTTACAGTCCAGGATGGGAGGGAAAGGTTCATCAGGTGACCACAGGCCAATGACAACAAGCGTGGTGTGTGCTGTGAGGGTGTGGGGGTCCTGCTCTGTGGTGGAGGGGCACAGTAGAGGCCCAAGCGAGGTCTCTCTGAGGAAATGCTGTCTAACTTCAGGGCTGAAAAGCATGGTAGAGGTTAACCGTGAGCTGGGATGGGGGTTGGAGCCAAAGCCAAAAAGAGAGAACACCACCTCCCAGCCCCTGGGCCTGGCAGCTTCCAGGCCAATAGCGTGGCCTCCTGGACAGATGGGCAGAGACCATAACCCTCCAGACCTTGCAGCCATGCTGAAATTTTGGATCATACCCTGAAAGCAATGGGAAACCATTGAATAATAGATAAAGGGGAAGAAGGGATACAATCTGATTTACACTTTGAGAAACTATGAAGAAACTCCTCGATGTCTGTGAAGCAAGGATTTTTGGCGCCGAAATCCCCTGGACATCCTCTGAAGGCCGCTTGGCTTTCCCACCCAAGGCCCCCTTGGAGGTACCTCTTTGGCTGCGGTCTCCTTCACGCATGAAACTCTGGTCCCCTGACACCGTCACCCCCAACTCCAGTAGCACCCGCACCCCCTCCTCAGCACCCCCACCTCAGTTTCCCTCCCAGAGTTAATAACCCCCCTCTCCTTGGCCAGAATACGGTAGTGTTGGTGACTCATGTGTGCAGAGTGTCTTGAGATCCCCAGATGAAAGAACAGGCTGCAGCTGGGCACAAGGTTATTACCTTCTCAGAGCCATGCCCCCCTACTAGCTGGAAGGCACAGGCGCCCTGAGCCAGCCAGCCCTCAGCCCAGCTGAGCCTATCTTCACTGGTTGGAAGGTCTCAGTGGTGGGGATCTGAAGAACACAGCAAGATGGGTGACTGAGTCTGTGAAGGGAATTGGACCGTGCTCCCCCGCGCCCCCCAACACTGACAGACTTAGCTCCCCACCTGGGTGGTGGACCCTAAGGTCTCGCTCTGTGGAAGGGCCTTCGATGCCCGCCTAGGCCTTGGGAACTCCCCACTGTCTCCTACCCCACCAGGCAAGCTTGTCAGCAGGGCGATAAAAGCAGCAAAAGGAAGTGTCCGTTTGCAGGGTCAGGGAAGACAGTCTCAGAAGGGACATTCTGGGTGTGTGTGAACCTCACATCCCTGGGCCCTTCTCCCTGCAACCCCCGTCCCACCAGGCCCGGAGTGTAATTGGCAGCTCCGGTTGGTGCCCAAGGCTGGGATAAATAGCAGGTCAGCTTACTAGAGCAGCCCCAAATCGAGACACATCCTCCCCTCTTCTGCTTTTAATTCCTTGTGGCTAGCATGTTTATTTTGGGTGAGGAAAAAAATCGGATGTTTATCCTTCGAGGAAATTATCGGCTTGCTTTCCTTCCTCCCCCCACCCCATCCCCTTTTCTTTTCTCTCGGTGTTTTGGGCTTTGAGTTCAGCTGCAGGAGAGACCCCCACCCTCCCATCCCCAAGATGTGAAAAAAGAATAAAGCTGGCCCCAGGCTCAAGGCTGAAGCCAGCCCTGCCAGACGGTTCCTCAAAGCCACAGAGAAGGAGGTCCAGTGCCAAGAAAGGGAAACATGAGGGCCAGGGACACCTTGGGAAACCCGCCCTTGACTCTGCTCTCTGCCCACACAAGACCCTAGGTCTGTTGCCTCTTTTCCTTTCAGGGCCTCCTCCAGGAAGAAACCAAATGAGCACATAGATTGCTTCGAGATCTCTAACGAAGCAGCTAAGAAAGATGTAGGGAGCCTGTTGCAGGGATAGGAGAACGGACATTATCATATCATCACGATCAGATAGTGTTTGCTGAGCCTTTTCTGTAGGCCAGGCCCTGTACCAGACGCCTAACTGGTGTTACCTTACAGACCACACCCCTGCCCCGCTTCCCAGCCCCCACGAACATTCGGTCCATCCACCATCACAGTGAGCCCGTAACCGTCGGTGCTGCCTGTCTCATTCTATAGACGAGGAAATGGACATTTCCCCAGTAGTTAAGGAACCTCCTCCTTGTTTCGTGGTAACCATTCATGGTGGCATCTGCTGGTACCTCGAGCCTGCCGCTCTCAGTACTCAGGGAGACACGGCGCTCTCGTTTTACTCTCCGCGCTCCACAAAATAAAGGCCAGAACTTCTATCTGTTCAGAAGCCAGGTGGGCCGAGAAGGAAGGCTGGAAGTCCCAGAAGAATTTAAGGTGAGGCTCACCCACCATCTGCCCTTCCCCCAGCTTCAGCTATTCTAGACCCAAGTATGGTCTGTGGGGGAGGGCCAGCTCCTGGACCTTCACGGCAGCAGCCCAGCCCGGCCCCCCGGCTCCACCTGCCCCAGGCAGCTACCCCAACAGTTTACCACCCTCAGCCCATAGAATCACCCTTCTCCCCCAGAAGCTCCCCTGTGTGACAACTGTTCTCGGGGAAGGGAGAGAGGTGGAAAAGGAGGGAGAGAAAGCCATATGGGAAAGCTGCCTGATGCCCGTGACAGTGACCGTGGTGGTGGTGGTGGTGGGTCCAGGTCACAGCTAAGCAGCCATGGGCTAGAAAGCGAGCCTGGTAGATGCCTTAAATGGTACAGCTTAAAAAGCACAACTTTTCTTACTGAGCAGACCCAAATTCACATAGACTTTCTACCATTGATAGCCCTGTGACCTCAGGCAACTTCCTCAACTGTTCTGGACCTATGTTTCAACTGGAAAAAAAAAAAAAAAAAAAAAGACAAACAAAACCAGTATAATGAGAAAAGCATGGAAATAAGTGCCTTCCTTAAAGATCTGTTGCACCAGTTAGATGAGAGAGCAGCCGAGGCACCCAGGCCCCAGGCTTGGCATACAGGCTGTTCAGGGAACGCGTGTTTTCCTCTCCTTCTCTGCCTCCACCTCACCTGCTCTGCTCCCCACCTGGGCTGGAGCACGCAGTGTGGCTTCCAGGAGTGGGAAAGAGCTACACTACCCCCTCAGATGAGAGTCCTTCTGGGGAGACCCATCAGAGTCTCAGCAGCCCCAGGGTGGGGGGGGGGGGGGGGGGGGGAAGGGCTGTAGGCCAAGGGATCCTCAGGCCCCAGCCCGGCATCCCCCTCCCAAGCTCAGCAAAACATTGGGAGGCTTGGATCAGGGAAGAGAGCCCAGTTCCTTAGCAACTAACAAGCATTTCTCTGTAAAGACAAAGACCCTTCACTCAGATTGCTCCTTCCCCCCACCCCAGCCCCCGCCTCTCCAGGTGTCTGGTGCACTTCTCAGGAGCAGGGCTAGAATCTGACCCCCCCACCCATAGCCCCTGAGATATAGGGGCCTGTTGCCCCACCCTCCTGGCCATCCTGATATTACCTGTAATTATCTCGCAGCACCTTTCATCCTGGTGCTAATTAACTTCCCCATTCCCCATTCCCCTGCCACCCCACAGAGCTGCTGGGGGACACGTGAGGCACACACACATACACACACACACACACACACACACACACACACGCCTGCATGCACACACATACACAGATGCTCATGTTTCTCCCCTCTGAGACCCTCGCTCCATTTTCGAGACCAGGAAACTAAGGTTATAGAGGGGAGCTGATTCCTTGAGGGTTCCCATCTGGTCTCCTTGGGGCTTGGAAGGAGAAACCGGAGCTGAATAGTCTGGCTCAGGGAGAGGGCAGGACAAGGTCCCTCTGAGCATCCTGGGAAGAGGGACCAGGAAAGAGAAAAGCCTTTGGAAAAGACTGAGGAGAACTGTGCCAGGACAGAGGTTTGGCTCCAAATGCCACTTTGGTTCCCACCAAATGCTGGCCGTCCTGCTTCATACAAGAGGACATTTCAAAGGGAAAAAAGGAAATAGTTCCATAAAAAAGGAAAGGAAGAGAAAGAGGCAGAAAGGGAAGGAAATAGAGAAGAAAGGCATGGCCATCTGGTCTGACGTAGCTAGAAGGATAGCTGGCCCGGAGGGGAGGCCCGATTTTAGTACCATTCGCTGCTGTGTAAGCCTGGACAAGTCGGCTGCCTTCTCTGAGCCTCTCTAAAATAGCTCAGGTCCAGTGTTCTGTGAGGCCCCCTTCAGCTGAATATTCTGCAACTCTATGTGTTTGTTTCAGGGAATGGTAGAGGAAGCCACCACCACAGTCCCTTTGGCTGGGCAGGAGTGGGAGTAAACAAGAAAAAGCCACCAGCACAGTGTAGAACCTTGGGATTGAGAATCAAAAGAGCCAAGTATATTTGGCTGCAGAAAACCCTACCAGGAGGGCCAAACTAAAAAGAGGTTTGCCGACGGGGGAGCTGAAGACCTTGGGGTTTCAGAAGAACCTGTTCCCAGAAGCAACAACCAGCAACAGAGCTCATCATCCCCAGATTCAGGCTGGAGGAAACCCATTCAGGGAGCCTAGTGGAGGGAGAGTGGAGGACCACACGGGCCCCATGTCTGCACCCAGGGATGGAGGGTAGAAATGTACCTGTGGA